CCCTTATTGCACAACTTTGCCCTGAGGCAACAAAAAGAATAACTGAATTTCTGAACATGCAAAATACAAAAAAAAACTTCATAAAACTTGCCTAAAGGCTTCTCTACACCTTCATACACACACACACACACACACACACACACACACACACACACACACACACACACACACACACACACACACACTATTGGACTGTTCTTTGAACTGTTCAACCCTTCTAATTAGTTGCAATCATTTAAAGAAACCTGTACTGAACACAGGGCTTAAGAAAACTTTCCGTTTAGAGGGTTATTGTTTTTGGTTTGCCGGGAAATCTTTTAAATTTTGCTTTACAGAAATAGGACACTATTTTTAGGTTTGCAGAATGTTCCCCTAACTTTCAGCTAAAGTTCTCCTAATGTTTTTACTCTGATATCACCCGGGCGTGTTGTATGTCAGTAATCGTCCAGAACTTCCCTTACACTATACACAAATCCGGCGAAACACGAAAGTAAAGCAGCGCCGCCATTACTGCGGGCCTTGCTGCTAAGGAAGTATAGCGTTGGTCCCGTCGGCGCCTGTAGCAGATGTTAGCTGTACGAAATGTTATTTCTATGTAGTTTTTTTAGTACGTATGCTGTCCTGCCGGGAAGAGCGTGTTGTGTGGTTGGCTGTTTTAACAACAAATAAAACCGTTTGTGAAATTCACAAACCTTTGTTGCGCATTGACTGCCCATGTTTATGGCCATACGGTATACACAAGTTCCTGGCGCGGGCGGTAAGCACTCACTCTGTGTGTGAATTCTCTATGCTGGCAAATCTTCTAATTATAACAAACAAAGTGTATATATTATGAAAGATTCATTGTGCAGTCAGCTTCATTGATAATAATAGAGATGTGTGAGTTCGCGATGAACTGATGTCAGCTTTTTAGGAATTATTAAGGGAGCGCACTTGCGCGCATTCAGACATACCAGACCATGCACGCAGTAGCCTGCTTGCTTTTATAACAGTGTGGTTTGTGTGTTAATGCTTTAATAACAAATAAGTTATCAGAGTATATACGCTGATGTGTATGGTGGCGACACGTAGGCTAACTTGAAACTATTTGGAGGTACAGAAAAAAAGTCTATTTGCGGCGGGAGAAAGTAACATAGAAAGTAGTTGCAGGGCTCTCAAGTGTCACGCATTGAGCGTGACAGTCACTCATTTCGGTCTTTTGTCACGCTCTCCCGCCACACATTGTATTTCTCACGCTGAAAAACTATTTATAATATGTAATATGCTGCAGCACCCAACATTTCTCTGGCCGCGCCGCTCTCACTATGGAACTGGCAGGAATCAAGCGCGTCTCGAAGTTCATGCAGTTGTGTCCTCATGTAGGCAAATAAACAGCTCGAGCGTCACACATGCTTCAGCGCGCGCGCGTGTGTGTGTGTTAAATGAAACTGCGCGTCAACGGCACCATTCATTCACACAGAACACGTAGGATTCGTATTTAAATAGTATTATTACAAAACAATAGGGGAAACACTGAGTTATTTGCAACTTGTGAAGCTTGTGAACATATTAGCAACACAGCTAGTAATGACAGCGTTCGGTTTTATTGTTGTCATCAATTAATACACGTCTTAATTACATTACATTTGGCTGACGCATTTTTACATTAATACAGTGTTGTCAATAAATTAGCTTTATCTGTAAGCTTTCATTGAAATGTCATTAGAGGGCACCGGCAAGTGTCACACCGTCACCCTTAGCAGGCCCGCAGTAATGGCGGCAGGCAAGATGGCGGCGCCCATAGAGTTCGCGGCGGATTTGTGTATATAGAGAAAGTGAAGATGTCATGCCTTGTTGCATGCTGGGACAGCAGTGCCCTCATGTGAGGATCACTCGCTGACAGATACTGAAATTGATACCAATACAAGTTATGTTTTGTTTTGTTCGCATAAATTGTTGAAATCTTGAGGGGAGAATAATAATATGGAGAAGGGATGAGAAATAGAGAAGGGACCATACCCAGCTAAAACGAAATATCAAAGCTAAGCAACAGTTGGACAGTTAAGACTATAAACAACATGGATCCATTTGACTTGGCATCCAAAACACTGGATTACAGACTCTGAAGCACTACATCTACTCGCATACCCAGACATTGTGAACTATTTCTTTTCTTTTTTTTCTTTTTTGGCTTATGTGCATACACTTTGCATGAGTTTAAATGTTAAAAAGAAGAGTTTTGCCACAAGCCAGCAAACTGTGAAAGCATAGTAATACTCACAAAGGTAAAATGTCACCCCCTTTTGGCCAAATTATTAAACCAAACAACAACAAAAACACTCAGCTATGTGATCTTGGACCTAAAAGCATAGGTTAAAAAACTTAGGTTTTTCTACTTGCAGTTTTGTTTGACTGTTTCAACGTGACACACCATGACACTGAGTTGAAATACATTCTAGTGACGTCATGACGCAATGGAGTAAAATAACCACTGAATCATTTAGTGAACTGATTCGTTGAAACAAACAAACTGTTCGTGGAAATTAATCAGGCTTTTTAATAACTATTGGCAACTGGAAAGTGAGGAGAATGAATGATTATGAGTAAATTAATGAATGAGTAAATTATCACACATCTTTACTTTGTATTTAAAGTAGTGCATCATTTACTTGTGCTATGAATTAAAAGCCCTTTTCTCCCTCTCTTTCTCTCACTCACTCAAACACACATAGCCTACACAGAGAAAAAGAGGGAATCCACATAGGCCTATGTATCATGTCTAGTACAGATACAGAAGTATGATTGCAGAATGATTGCTTAAGAAGTTTAGTATGTCAGTTATCTATCTGTACATTATTGTTGAAACAAGATGGAGCTGGTCTTGGGCAGTAAACCCTGAAAATGGTGTGTGTGTGGGCGTGTGTGGGTGTGTGTGTGAGATATTATCTGCACTACAAGGAAGATGTATGGCTTTGAAATCATGCACTCCTCTGGACACAATTGACATTACCTGTGTTTCTATTTACCTATTTTTATGCACATTTTTGGAGATTGCATAATCGCTGGATGGAAACAAGAATTTCTAAAAATGCACATAAAAACGTATGTTCAATTGACGTAGATAAAAAAAAAAGGTTAGGACAAACTACAATGAAAAAGCATTTACTGAATAAATCCTTCATTTCGAAACTAACTGATTTGCCTCAAGAGAGGATCTGATTGTTTAACTGGACTAACCAGTGGATCAATTTCATTTGCACAGCATCTCAAATGTTGGTTTGATCATTCTGAAAAACCTGAGCCAAAATCTATCATTACAATGGTTGGGTGTAATGACATCCCTCCCTTTCAACAGATAAATTCCTCCGGACTCAAGATAACATGACAATGACAGTGTTTATTGCATTTTGTCTTTAATTTAAGATGTATGAAAAAAGAGCCACTGTGGCTTCCCCAATTGCAGCTACTTCCATTTTTATTACAGATATTTTGCACCAATTTTTCTCTCAATTTTGTTCTCTTGAAAATCTGGAATGAAAATAGTGCCTTATTTGCAAAGGTTTTATTCAAAATGCGCTAAATTGGAATAAGTTAAATTCGCAACTTTGGATTGAAACGGTTAATGAAATGTTTGTCTGAAACAGAAGTCTTGTCTTGAGGAGTAATATTCTTAGTTAAAGTGCCCCATTATGCTATTTTAAAGGCTCCAAATGTTGTTTTGGAGTCTCCTACAACAGGTTTACATGCATCAAAGGCCAATTTTTTTTTTCATTTTCTCATAATATACATTGCACATCACCACATTTTTCAACTTCTCAAACGACTTGTCTGATGAATCAATCTCTCAAACATCCCTCCTTTCCGAGAGCTTACTCTGCTCTGATTGGCCAGACAGCTCAGTCTGTTGTGATTGGTCTACCGCGTACAGCGCGTGTCAAACAAAAACGCCCATTGCATAACTAAACTTAAGCTTCGTCTGGAGGCTTCCCACAGCTCAGCAATTGTAAACACTCTAAAGACAGCAACGATGATGTCGATTTTACCATATCAATGCGAGTCCAATGATGAAACATTGGAAGAACTAGTTATTTAACCCAAACCTCCATCACAAAGATGACTCGAGCAGGACGTTTCTCAGTGATACGCTACTCAGTTTGAGGTACATTATGAGGTGTTGCAGCTGTTATTCCTCACCATCAGCACTAACAAGAGTATGTCTATCAACAAACCCGTGTATATTTCTAATTTATTGCGGTGCATATGCGGGAACTGTATAAATAACGGTGCATATGTTCGCCCAGCAATAACTGATGTAACATAAATGTTGGTAAAACAAATCTTGCTTCATCCTTCATCTTTACTCAAAGTGGTGAAAAAGACAGATAATCTGCATTAATAGACAGTTTTAGGTAATAGTGGCCCACAACTGATTCACTGAAGTATTTCAGGTAGACAGTAATAAAACGAGTTAGCCGGAAACTTATACAATATAAAACACAAAACTACGTATTTTGAACACCCGGTAGAAAGTATATACATCAATAATTATTCATACTTCCAGGTTGTGAGTCTGAGGAACAAGCTGGTCCAACTAAACTGGGGACTGACCCATCTGTCAAGAGCAAGTGAAACCTGTGTTGAACTCTGAGATTTGAGAAGCAGTCGTCAGTAAAATGACGTTTAATGGCTGGTCTAGTTGTTCGCGGACAACGTACAACATAGGCGGGCATTATGCAAATGCAAATCTTCTAGTGACGTAGGGATTTGGGATTCAAAACAAACGACTCGTATTGGTGGTTCAGAGTTGATTCTTTCTTTTGGGAGATAATAACTTTATTTATCGTGCACTTTTTACTTTACAACTTTGCAGAACGTTTGCATTCCCAAACAGCTATATTACACACTGCATGTAAGGGAATATTTGAGAAAGCATAATAGTAATGGATAGGCACAAGAATCATAGATGGCACAACCAGCCTTTGTTTATCAAATATTAACTTTGCTTTCTCTCATTTGTGCAGATGCTGCTTCATAGTATTACTTCTACATCTGACAGGCAAAGGTTAGTATTCACAGACCTCAGTTAAGATATTTGGTATCTATTGATGTATTTTATGTTTGGTGCAGTTTTTGTTGTTGTTTGCTTTCTAATGTAAATTACTCTTTTCCTCAGTGTCTCTGCAGGACTCTGCAAACACATTTGAGTGTGTTGTTGGAGACTCCGTCACCTTGCCGTGCTTGTATGAGAATAAACAAAGTAATGTATTTTGGCGACACAATGTAAGCAGGAACGTGTTAAATATTATAGATGGCCATATCTCACTAGAAGACCAGGACACAATATTCCAGAATCGAACGGAAAGTTTCTCTTCAGGTTATGTAAATGGAGACTATTCAATTACGCTGAAAAATGTGGAGTTAATTCATGCAGGAGACTACACTTGTTTTATTCAAGAATCAAACAAGAAAAAGAAGCTACAGCTCTTTGTCAAAGGTACATGGAATCATTGTTTGGGAAATGACAGCGTTTTAAATGTCCATTTTATCTCTATTCAACTCTAATGAATTTACAGAACTGCTTCTCTCTACATTATTTTGTTTTTCTTACAGAAAAGCCTGCAGAACCAGCTCAGAAACAAAGAAACTCGTCCATGGAAACACAATCACAGAAGATTATGACTTTCCTAACTGCTCTATTGGGACTTACTCTGCACTTCATCTGAGTTTTGCTTCAAGTGGCTGTTACATTTTGTAATGGCTTTCCAATGCCGTTGCCGTTGATAAGCAAGTTTAGAGTCCATGCAGACGGATGTAGATGCAAACAAATGTCTTTCTTTATTACTTGTGCTCCATTAAACATGATGAATACGTGTGAACAAGGAAACAAGTTCACACAAAGCCATACCTTGTGGACAGCATAAGACTAAAAGCCACCTTGTGAGCTACTCTGCTGTGTGGTCAAAACACTGTGTGCTTCCCAATTACCAACGCACACACTTGTTGCTCAGGTGCTCTAATTATACACAGCACCACCCAGTGGACAAAACTTTACCATACAACAAATGGCTCCTTCACATTTGATAACATTTAGTGACTGACCAGTTGTGTTTGCTGTTGAAACTGCTATTCTCAAACTGCATCAGTTCTATTTAACACTGCAGAAGGAATTGCTTGTTTGGTCATTTTATTTTTCATACTCATGTTTGGACCAGTGGATCACAATGCAGACACTCTGGACTCTTTTGACACACGAAACATCAACATTTGTATTATATGTGCTGAAAAAATGCTCCCAAGGTTGTGCACATTAATATGAATGGCTATAACTCTGTGAACAACATGAGATATTTTCACCAAACTTGACGTGTCCTATTGACACGAAACGTCAAATCCCACGAGAGTGTCTTATCAACTTGTTCACGTTATAATATCAGATATAAACATTGTTTTGCCGTTAGTCTGCTTAGCCTCTTAACTCTTGCTGTGCTCATGCTCTCTCACTCTCTGAATGCAATAGTTATTGTTAAATACTAAACTTAAAGCAGTGTTTTTAATTGTGTTATACTTATTTTGTAATTATCCTATTGTTTACATCTTTGTTCTTTTTTTTTTTACAACAAAGCAATCTAAAATAACAAAAAATTGTTTTTTAGTGATATGTACGGTGAAGATAAATCATATCAGACCTTTTGTATGTTTAATGTATAAATGAAAACCTAAGCAATGCCACTGAAAACTAAAGTGACACATTTCAGAGAAAGAGTTTTTTTATTTTATTTGTTTTATTTTTTATACAACTTACTGCATGAGTGTGCACACTGAACCTATACTTAGTTGAACCATTTGATTTTATTACAGCACTCAAGACTGTTCCCACTCTTCTTTCCAGTTCTGTTAAATTGCAAGGGCCTCTTATTGTATGTTAGCAACTGTAATTGTAAATCATTGTATGCTCTATTGCATTTACACATTTAGGACATTAGTACTTCAATAGCACCTGTTGGTGGAATCATCAAACTACAAATGCACAGAGTTTTCAAACCTAGAGTTGAATTTGAGGTTAGTGATATTGTGATTTTTGGCTAAATTATATCCTTAAGTGCAAATTATTTTAATCCACTCCAACATCTTTCCATTCCAACATGAGTTGGTGTTTTGCAAATCATAAATATGCGGAAAAAAAAAGTCTGGTAGCCATTTTTGTGTAATCTTTGATATAATCCATCCTGCTTCATATGATGTTGAAATTAATTGGAAAAATAAATAAATAAGTGCTGTGCGATCATAATTCCAGCTCTGACTTCCCCTCTCGTCTGTGTGGTCGAGGTTTGTGTTTCCGCTCACAGTACGAGATGTGTGAATGATCACTATAGCAGATATTATTCATCTGGATCAGATCATGAAGATCATACAGCTGCAGATCTGTGAGTTTCTCATGACACATTTGATTGAGTCAGTTTTCTTTTGATTTTATATCTTAATAAATGTGTATTTCTTTCTGTCATAGATCTGTTCATGTTGTATCGAGTCACAGAGAGTCTAACAAACACACCAGTAACTTTAGGATCTGATGTGATTATAACCTGTGATCTTGATATAAAGGAGATTTACTGGTACAAACTGAAATTACCGGATCCTCCAGTGTTGATCTTACGCACTTTCAGCAGAACAGTTGAAGGAGGAGGTGAATATGAAAACAGCATCTTTATACACAAATACTCAGTGAAAACTAACAGTCGTCTGTTCATCAAGAATATCACCATTGATGAATTAGGAGTTTATTATTGTGTGAAAACTAGTGAACCACTAAAATTCAACAACGGCACCAAAATCTACATCAGCGGTGAGTTATTTTATCATTTCATGTCTTTATAAACCACATGATGGATTACATATTGAATTTGAATATACTGTATGAAGAACTAATAATAGTTGTATTGTTCTGTTAAAGACTGAAATTGAAAGATTGAACTACAAACCTTTTACAGACTTTGTCCATAATAATATTACAGACTCGGTCCACAGGAATCAGACAGATGACGCTCCACAACACCAGATACCATGGAGAAATATGACCATCATCATATCTGTCCTGCTGAATGTGCTTCTGATCATTGCATTGATAGGTTATAACTTGTTTTAATACAGTAAAAGTCTCATTGAATCTCTGTTCCATCAATTTCCTATTATCACTGTAAAGCTGCTTTCAAAATCAAGATCTACACAAATGTAACAATATCCTATCTTATTTCAGACTTAATTTAGTTTATCATTTTGTTTGTTTAATCTGTCAAAAGGTGTTGTGATACGGTGATGTTTATTCACTGTTGTTTTCTTCAGGTGTGGTGAAGAACTGCCGTCATGCAACTAGAACATCTAAAAATAGTTCAGAGAAACCTCCAAGTACCACTGCAGCTCAGGTGAGAGTAATTGTGTAATGAATAATAGCTGAATTTTTTAATAATTAGCATACTATTTTCAAATAGTGTTGGTGACCCATTTTTGAATGAATATGTGATATTAAAAAACTACAGTACAGTATAACAACCACTAAAATGCATATTTGACTGTTGTACATTGCACTAGTTTCATGTCTCACATAACTGCACTTCTAATATGTCAGATCTCTATTACATGTCCATTTATAGATTTAATTGATTATTGATTATTCCTTACATGTGTGGCCATTCATTGCTAATATCCTAATCTTTCAGTTTGCTGAAGTCGAATCATCGATGCCTTCCAGTGGAAGCACTTCTTGCCAGGATCAGATCTACTCTCTTCTACAGCCAGTAAAAACAAAATAATGTATGATATTTAATGATTTGTAATATTCATAATTTGTATATAAAAATATAAAGTTTAACATTTCTGTAGTTCTATTTGTGGGAATTCATAGATTTAAACACTTTAGTTGCGTATTCTGATTCATATCAAATGCAGAGTATTGAACATGATCAGATTTGAAACAAAGTTGAACAACATCTGTTGTCATGGACTCATACTTGTATGAACACAGACAGTTAGTAATAATCAGTTCTGAGATTATTTGACACACAACAGTTAAAGTTATGAAAAGTAGAATTAAAATGTTTATTGGTTGAACATAAAGTGCTGAAAGTAGTAGTGGACACTGGGGCTATTTTCCAAAAGAGGAACTTGTCACAAAGACTACCTGTAAGTTATAAAGTTTTGAGTCCAATGGGTGTTTCCACGACTGGTGGTTTTAACCACGAGGTTCATCTGCAACAATGTGTAAACATGCAGTGTGGTCGATAATAAACTGTTCTGGTCTGGTATTAAATGTTTCTGTTTTGAATGGAGATCTTGCTTTTACAGCTCTTATTTGTTCAGATTAGCAGTGGAAGTTGCATGTAAACCACAGTCTAACGGGTTTCTTGGGCCTGAAGCATCTTCTTAGCCCAGTTTCATGAAACAATGCGACAAATAATCCTTCATTTTACCACAGATCAGATGGCACGTCTGAATATAAAATGCCTTGCATTATTTTTTCTCAAATGTTCTGCTACTTTTATGTTTCATTACGATTTGACTCACAGCTCATAATCACAGCTTTCAATGGCTTGCATATTAATAGTTTTTAATCTTTTTTAAGCTATTAAAACCCCCACTACTGCTCATATCTTCTTTGTGGTTGACACACGTGGCGAGACCAAGACTGTGATAGATAGACAAAAAATCTTTATAATGCATGCGCTGTAAGCTCCAAGATCACATGCCATTTTACGAAAACTCAGAAAAACCTTTTTTTTTTTTTGGAAGATGTTTCTTTTGACCACTGAATAATAGTCCAGTTGTGTCTTTGTGAACAGCGTTGACGTGTTTTGTGGGCGGAGCCTAACTGGTGGCAGAAACTCACAGTTCTGCTGTGGCAGTCTATGGAAGCCACGGAATAAAAGGTTTAAAAAATAATAAATACGTCATTTAGAGTTTATTTCACAATTCCGAGTTTATATCTCAGAATCAGAAGAATTGAGAGATATAAACTTGTTATTCTGTCTGTGAAATATTTAGGTTTAAATATTATTTCATGCTGTGACTATAGTACATTATGTCCCGTATGAACTGCGTATGTGAATATTATTTACTACATTATTTATCTTTACATCAAATTCATGCTTTAACATTCAGGTAATCATTGCAGGTTTCATCAGTCTGTCTGTTGTCTCATCATGGGCTTAATGTGGGCAATCCGCTAATGTTGGCTGCTCACAGAGAGCCTGCGGTGAGCCCAAAGCTGTGGGCCTGTTTAGGTTTGGTGTGGGCTGGTCCTAGCCCACTGCCTGCAAAAATCCAGCATGTTTGCTGGGATCTATTCTGTTGTACGTGTCCTACTTTAAAAAGCTCCTCAAACCGAACAAATATTTCAGGAGTCAAGGCCCATACTTAAAGCGAAATCGAAGAACGATTTGGTGTCATGTCATTTCGAACAAAATCAGACTGAAACGAAGTTGGTTTTAGGAGTTTGAAACAGCCAAAGCTGGTAAACTCATTTTTACTCCCATTGGTCCGTGACGATTACGTAATAAGTTGGTGTGCACAGAGGCTACGCCTTCTTTCACGTGAAAAACTTTTCGTGTTCAGTTGGCCTGTTCAGGCGGTTGAGGTCAGATGTTGTTTTGTGTTTATTTTGTTATTGAGAAAAAAGCATGCATCATATTTACTTATTCATTTAACCGTCATTCTCAGCCGCGTTGGCGGCATCAGATGTTCGATAACTACGGTGGCCGAGAGAGCTCAACGCGCTGCAACTGAAGAAAACACATGCAAATAGAAAAAAAACGCGTGCAAATACAAAAAAAAAAACGCGTGCAAATAAAAAAAAACACCCGAAATTAAGAAAACATCTTCATCAGTTTCACAACACACGTGTGCTCCAAATACTCACAACACCACCAAATACAGAAACGTGCTGCAAATAACACAGAGCACAACGGAAATGTTTCCAGGGGAACCAAATAAGTGACGAACCCGGCCGAGACGTGCTGGCATAGATATCCATAAATCTATACGTGCTGGTGCTTACAGCTTAAAATTATACTTTATTTATTTATTTATTTATTTATTTGTGCAAAACATACAGAGATTACATTTTTTTATGACATACAACTTGTATACAATGTACAAAATGTATTAACAATATGTTCAATGTCATCAGAATACAAATGAGAAAAGAACAATGAGCTGGAAACTAAAATAAATAAATAAAAAAGATAAAGAAGAAAAACCTGAAGGAAAGATATTTATCTATAAGTTACATCAGTTACACTGTACAAATTGTTTCATGTTATTACATTTTCATAAAGAAAAGTTTCGTAAGAAATGTTAGGGTCCAAAATTTTAAAGTTGAGACACACAGATATATAACGCATATTTTAAAAGCTTTTTTGTAAACTAAAAAAAAAAAAAGTATTTGCATCCGTTATGTTAACAGCATCATATTTCTGTCGTAAGACCAGCTCTTCAGCTGATGGACGCCGTGCTGCGTTGTCATGGGAACATCCCAGGTGAAAATAATGAGGAAATTACGTTGTCTTTCGTTGCTCCTTCATCAAGTGCGCTCCACACGGCTATAACAGCACACTAGAGCCCTGCTCACTCCACAGTCCCACTTTAAGGGCTCTGCAATCTGCCCTTCGAAGGGAGTATGGCATAGGGAAGCTCACGAGCAACAAGCACGTCCCAGCCGAGTTCGTCACTTATTTGGTTCCCCTGGAAACATTTCCGTTGTGGTCTGTGTTACTTGCAGCAAGTTTTCGGTATTTGGTTGTGTTGTGAACTTTTGCAGCACATTTCTGTATTTGGAGCACATGTGTGTTGTAAAACTGATGAAGATGTTTTTTGTTTTTATTTGCACGCGTGTTTTTCTATTTGCATGAGTTTTTTTTCTATTTGCATGTGTTTGCTTCAGTTGCAGCGCGTTGAGCTGTCTCGGCCACCGTAGATAACAGTATATCGCTGCTCACATATTTCGAACTTCGTTTTACCCCTAAACGAAGAACAAAAAAGGATTTTGCCGTGAGTATATCAGGGCCTTAAACATGTAACTGGTTATCTTGGCCTGTTAGCCCCTGTTGGTGGGTGGTGTAAAAAACCAAAACATGAACAAAACTATAAAAAAGTAAAAGAAATACAATCCGGGCTTATTTAAGTACATACTTATTTGCTTTGAGGATAAACAATGGTTTGTGTCGACCACAGAAGCAAATTACTGACTGCCAAACCGTCATTAGCGTTTACTTATATAATGGTTGTATAGGCTACAGTTGAAGAAAATATCAAATTAGTGTTATCCTTCCTGAGTCATATTGCTGTCTGTTACAAGTATAATTTTTTTTTTTTTTTTTTTTCACAAAGTGAAAAGACTAGGCTATATGCATTGTGATATGCAACAGAATAAAACACTACACGTGTGGTCAGACCAAGCCTGACTTAAACTTCCTCTTGATGTGTGAAGCACCGTTTTACAGCTATGAGGTAAAGTTTCATGAGAAAGTAACAAGACTCAAGACTAGGTCACTCTGAAAGTGTTTTAAGTTACCAGATTCCCTGGCTCTGAAATTGCGCACTTTCTCATCTACAACTCCTCATTACTACAATAATAGATTTAGACACAAATATTCAGTGCAAAGCAATCATCGCCTGTTCATATATAATGTCACTGTTGATGATTTGCGACTTTATTGCTGTGTGACCAAAGACGTCCATCCGAAATACAGCAATGACGGCAGACTGCACATCTTTGTTGAGTTCAGTCATCATGTTATTACACTACATACTTTTTACATACTTATAAAAAATGTTTGTAAAACCCTTTAATGGCTGCCTCTTACATTATAGTTGGTCTGTTGAATGGTCTTCTGATCATTGTGATTAGTTCCGAACTTCCTTGATAGAATTGCATTTGTTACTCTTCTGTTAAAAAAGAAGTGACTATTGTGATGCATGGACAATGCATGGGGTCCAAAAACAACATTGACTTTCATGAAATTCTTCTTTTTTTTTTCTTTTTATCTTTTGTGTTCCATAGATAATGTTTCTGAGTGTAGTAAATTGTTTGAATTTAAAGACAACAGCAATATTGTTTGCATTCTGCTTACATGCTATTGGTTTCCTGTTGCGTTGCAAGTCAACAGCACCTGTGCACCACTACAGCTGCTGAAAGCAAGAATACCTAACCATTGACCACATTTCCCATTGCATTTAATAAAATGTCATTTATATTCTGTCATTTGTATGCTGGGTTGGCAGTCAAACAGCAGAAGTCCAAAACTATCTATCCTCTATGTGTTTATTTTAGATAACCTGATAGTTTTCTTCAAGGTGAAGGGGGTGAAACTACTGCCGCTTCAATGTCCTGTTGAGTGATTTGTAATGAGTGATTATAATCAAGGTATTAATCAATATTTATCCGCCTACATATTAAATTATTTGATTTGTGTTTTTTTCTAGAAGTACATATATGGTTTCTGAAATGTGCACTCTCCATGTTTTTGAGAGAGACACCACACATGTTAAAATGTACTCGGTTACTAACGTAACCTCGGTTCTCTCTAGAAGCGGGAACAAGTACTGCGTAATATCTTATGCTAGGGGGAAACCTCTTTTCCACGAGATATTGAAGCCAAAAATTATCCTTAATTTTGAATTAATGTAAAACGTTGCGGCAGCGTGCAGACATAGGCAAGACGGCTCGCGTGCCTATTGGCTGTCCTGCGACAACTGCAGCAGCCTATCAAGAGAGGCCCTTGGTGACGTCAGATCCAATGGGGGCGCTTCCCGCCCACTATATCACCTCTCGCCAAAGCGGCGTGGCCTGGGCCTATAAATATAGCTCGATGGGCTGATATAGTCTGATTTTTCATCGCTGAAGTGAACCAGAGCGTGTTTGTCACGGGTGACAAATTTTAAAACCGGAACGCTAGATGTGAGCTGGAGTTTCCGGGGGGGACGACTTCCGGTGCGGGACCCAGGAAGTTCCGGTTGTAGCGACCGATGACGGAACTCATCACCAGTAATTAGAAAACGGTGCGGGACGAGAAGGGGGCGTTGTGATTGGAACACGCACCGACGGAAGAGAGGATAAATAGTAGTACCTCACTGTGGAGGGGGAGAAGCGGGAGCGGAAGCGGGGAGGCGGCAATGATGGTGTGTTTTTTCTGAGAGCCAGTCGAGCCTTTTCGACGGGTGACACCTGATCGCGCTGTGCTGGGGGCCGAACTGGACTCACGAAGCAGATGTGTTTGGCGGCCGAAAGCTGGGCCGAGGATACTTGTAGCAGGCTGGAGCCTGCCCGAAGAGAAAGATAAGTGACTTTGGGAACTGAATTTCGGCACAATTGATGCTTGTAGTGGACGACGGGGGAGGATTAACATTGAAGTAGGATGTGTCTGTTGCATTCGGATGTACTAAATACGTTGCCATTTTCCCACGGAGCTTCCAGCGAGTGGTGAACGGAGATCCACGCCTAGGCCTTGACTTTGTGAGTGCAGTGTTTTGCAGTGCTTCCCATGTCCTTCTTTTCACGTGTGTTTGTGTGTAAAGGTTTTCACCGGACATGAGAGTGGGGTGTTAGCCAAGGCAGTGGTGGGCCGGGATACTGCAACGCTGGTGAGATACGTACCTGCTCTCTCTGCTTGAGTCCTTTGAATGCACTGTAACGTTGATGAAGCATCGATCATCCTCTCTGCTTGAGTTCCATGAGTACGCAGCAACGCTGGTGAGATACGGACCTTCTCTCTCTCTGCTTGAGCCCTGTGAATACACTGTAACGTTGATGAAGCATCGATCATCCTCTCTGCTTGAGTTCCATGAGTACGCAGCAACGCTGGTGAGATACGGACCTTCTCTCTCTCTGCTTGAGCCCTGTGAATACACTGTAACGTTGATGAAGCATCGATCATCCACCTAGCTTGAGTCCCATAGGAATACAGTAACGCCGGTGAACCATGGAGCATTCGGTCCTTTGGAGTTCTGTGAAGATGCTGCGTTGGGAGACCCGAAGCCGCTTTCCCGTCTGGGCTCTGTGAAGAGGAGTTCCCTGGAGATCCATCACTGAGTCACGTTGCTTACCAAATAAAGCCCGCTGCTTTTAGATCTTTTATAAATTAATAAAGCATTAGTCCTTTTTACACTTTATCTGCCTGCCTGGTTGTTCTTGTGGTGTTGGCTCCTCACGGTGGTGCGTAGTTGAGGGGCGTGGCCGGTCATCTTGAGTCCGCCCCGACCTGTGCAGGTGACATGTTGCAGGCACGGCAAAGATACGCAGTACTCGTTCCCTCTTCTAGAGAGAACCGAGGTTACGTTAGTAACTGAGTATGTTCTCTTATGAGAGGTTCTCTCGTACTGCGTAATATCTTACGCTAAGGGAACACAGTGAAAAACGCCGTGCGTGCTGGGATCCAACACCAAAGTCCCAAGGGCAGGTGCCCGGGGCTCATATAGTGCATAATTATTAGGGACTCAAAGAGTCTGAGAAGAGAGGCTAGAAGCGTCATTCCCAATGAGTTAGCGTCCTAAGGGAGCTAATCACATCAACAGTGTTCCACACAGTCAGGGTGAAAATGTTCGGCCTGAACTGCGTAATGGAATGGTATTACTTTTGCCCATGGAGCTATTTTATCGATCAGCGAGCGGTGCTCAAGCGGTTGTAGTATTCTGAGCCGAAGCAACGGGGCAGACAATACTGATTTTTAGACCGAAAGTAGTTTAGCCTGCAAGGCGGGAACCTCTAGGTTATAAAACCTTATAAATGTAGACAGGGAGGCCCAGCCTGCCGCCATACAGTCAGCCTGTAAAGGTTTCGGGACCTGATGCCAGCCTGGCGATTTATGTAAGCCACCACTGACATGTCACCACGTCTTGGTCCGCTCAGACAACCTTTTATTTGGGGAAAAAAACGCCTCAGCGCGTTGTCGACTGCAATCATTTCTAGACAGTTTATGTGTAGGAGCTTCACTATGGGATGAATATAGTATCAAAATGATTAACACGTACAAGCACAATTATCAATGAACTTGATACATGTTGCAGAAATGTTTTATCCATGCCTTTAAACTTGCGTGTGCAAAATTCAAAATTGAATGAATGTGTAGCAATTTGTACAAATAGAGACATTTTTGTGAATACAAATGTTTTCTTTTGTATTAGTGTATCATAATTTGCGAATAGTCGATCTCATTTGATTCATTTGGATTTTGAGACTTTCTTTTTGCTGTTTTTAAGCATTTCACAACCCACACACAAACAACTACAAATGAATAGGCCTGGTGCTAATTATTAATGTGTGCACAACTACCCATTTATTTGACAAATTCACAAGTGTGCGTCGCTGCATTTAAACTTGTACAATACAACTTGTGTGTGCAAAGTCCAGAATCACATAAATGTGCAGCATTGTGTACAAATAGAGACATATTTGTTAATACAAAAGCTCAATTTTGTATTAATGTAGGCCAGAATTTGTGCGTGCAACAAGTAAGATGTGCATTTGTGGATGAGGTGACGCGTGTGCATTCATTGACTCGTTTCTGAGTTGATCCTTTTTGATTCATTTGGATTTTGAGACTTTCATTTCGCCGGTTTCGCCTTGCAAGATCCACACACAATGTCTGAGAAAACCTGCTAACGCTAGATGGCAGTATTCTGCTAAAACAGACAACGGCCGCGTAATCAAGTGATCTTCCAAATTTAAGACACTTAATGTGAGTGATATTGAAGCGCCAAATTTAATATACAATATAGGCCTACCTTATTAATAAAGCATACTTTATAGAGGCAATCAGATTATGAACAACACCCATAGAAAACCATTATAAAAAAACTCTCAGCAAGCGCGAGAGCTGCATGATCCTCTTCCAGGCAGGATGCAAATGACATGGCGGTCCCCGTCGCTGAGTGTGGCTCGACACGAGCGTTAGGAAAGAGGCATCTTTAAAAAGACGCTGGCTCTTTTAGAGAGGATAGAGAGAGGGAGAGTGTGAGTCGCGGCGGCGAACACACACTAGGCAGAGTAAAAAGGATATAACGCCGGAAAGCGTAGCAGGTACGGCGACTGAAGGTGGCGAGATGAAGGCCAGCGGTTTTAGATGCAGAGGGTCGTCCCGCAGAAAGCTTTTCTCAGACGGCGCTGCTTCTTCACTCCGGATCCAGCGATGCGTGAGCTTCGCTGAAGAGATGAAAAATCTGATTATATCAGCCCATCGAGCTATATTTATAGGCCCAGGCCACGCCCGCTTTGGCGGGAGGTGACGTAGTGGGCGAGAAGCGCCCCCATTGGATCTGACGTCACTAAGGGCCTCTCTCGATAGGCTGCTGCAGTTGCCGCAGGACAGCCAATAGGCACGCGAGCCGTCTTGCTTATGTCTGCTTGCTGCCGCAACGCGTTTTACATTAATTCCAAATTAAGGATACATTTTGGCTTCAATATCTCGTGGAAAAGAGGTTTTCCCCTAGCATAAGATATTACGCAGTACGAGAGAACCTCCCGTAAGAGAACATAGCCTATATTCACTCTCTGTTAACCAACACAGCCGAGGTCACTGGGGGTCACTCCAGCCTGTCTCCTATGTGACCAATTCTTATGTAACACATTGACGTGATCAAAATGGTATCATGCTTGATGCATCATAAAAAAAAACCTTCCCCTTTGTTCAAGCTTGATCACTGGCCCTGCCTAAAGAGTTGCAAAACTACTTCTCTTCAACTTCTCCCTGACCAACCCTAGCGGAGACGGTGTCTGGGGCAAAAGACAGCCGAGGCCCAGAGACTAGAGACAAACTCGCAATACACATAAGAACAGATATTAGATCTATTTTTACCAGGGCTGGACTGGCCATCGGGCATACCGGGTTTTTGCCCGGTGGGCCGACATGCTTTGTGGATACATCTCATACTTATTTTTTTAAATAAAAAATTCGGCCCATAAAATTCGTACATCGGCGGCCCATTGCGTTTAGTTTTGTTTAATTGGCGGCTCTGGGATCTTTGTGCCGGTGTAATGCATTGGACAAAAAAGTCAGCGTAGGTTTTTCTTTTTTTCACAGACCGGCGCATGATGAAACGCGTAAATCAGCAGCCCATTGGTTATTTTCTTGATTGACACTGGGCTGGTCCAATAACATCTTTAAACTCCTCCCCCATTGAGCTCTGAGTGAGCGAGCAGTGTCAGTGTGTATCTGTCAAAATAGTCAGAGTGATGGAGAAGAAACGCAAGGAATGTGCAGAGAAATAGCGTGAAAAAGAAACTTCAAAGGCCCTTCAAGTGTCTGATGAGGATAGCGAGGACTCGGATAAGGAGAGATGAGTGAGTGCAGAGAACTGTGGTAAGCAGAACTAGGCTACTGTCACAACCATAGATATCATATAGATAGGTTTCCGATGACGTCACATTTCTCCCGCAAGTCCTTTCGGCGCCATCTTGTGTGTCAAGTGGGTTAAGCATTTGTGTTACGGAGAATGATAATATCCTGAAGCAATGGGTCATTACAGACTTTAACCTTAATTGTACATGCACATTGATAATAATATTAATACCTTATTTTTTTTTATTTTTTTATTTAACAGGGACAATACACTAAGCATTGTTACACATAGACAACCGATGCTGTGTACATAGGGCATATAGCATAAAGCTAGTTTGCGGCCCGCGGCCCTGGTTAGGCTTTTACATAAAATCAAAACATCCAAAAAACAAAACAAAAAAACAAACAAACAATCATCACAAGAAACAAAACAAATACAAATACAAACATGTATACATGTGTGCACATGTTATATCTTTATATGTTCTAGTCTAGTAATATGTAGCCTGCCTACCATCCATTATCAGCAGTTTTAAAGGGATGGAAATAAAAAAAAATGTAAACTGCTTAAACTTTCTATTTTTATTTTGATGCTTACATTGAACAGTAAAAATTTAAGGCACTGACTGGGAGCCTGATTTTATCATCAATTTATCATCAGTTTAGTTTGATTTGTTTTTGCCAAAAGGACGTTGTCCCAGTACACTTTATTATTGTCCTGGTTGCTCTCATGGAACCTTTTAAAAGCTTGTCAATTAAACTGGGCATTATTCTCCGTTTGGCTGGAGTTAATGTTCAGTGCTGCTCTTGTGAACATTTAGAGGTTTTGTGCTCTGGAGATGTGACACTTTATCTAATCATTTCCAAGATGGGCTAGCTAAATGCGCTAGCTCTCATCGGCTGTCAAATCACTGTAACGTTACCCAGGCGGCTACTATCGACACAGACCTTGAGAGGTGTTGGCTCGGCAGAAGTACACTGACGATTGTCCACCTTCATCACTTGCTCTGTGGCCACATCAGCTGGACGAGGCAGAGGCTAACTTACACCTGAAGCACATCGCTCCGTGCCTCTGCTCTCCATCTCTCTCTTTCACTGAATTAGTTCCGAGCGTCGTGTTGTTGTTTTTTTACCCAGATATATAAGGGCTGTGCAGATATCAGCCGCCTGGCTAAAGCATGTGAACCGTCAATGCAGGGCTCCAGACTAACTTTTCCACGAGGGAGTGAGAGCAAGACAACGCTTAGTTTGGAGACGGTGAAATCTTGTTTACACTTTTCAAAACTGACTTTTGCCTGGCTCCGAGAGAGGGAGTGCGCGCGCGCAACCGGCTCTCTCTTTCTGCTCGTAACTCGTTCTTTCAAACTGTCACAAGCGCAGCAGTTCATCTACATTACTGACCAATCAAATAAGACTTTGGCGGGACAAAAATGTGATTGAACGAATAACACACGGATTTAAAACGCATACAATTTTCCCCCCTTTTTTACCATAGACAGTATACGTTTTTGACAGCTTTTGACACACAACATGGCGGCGCGGCGCAGAGAATAATGGGTAATTTGAGAAATGGAAACCGTCTCCGGTTACTTTCGTAACCTCGGTTCCCTGAAAGGCAAGGAACGAGACATTACGGATGTCGTATATGGGAACTCCTCTCCTCCTTCACTTCCGCTGAAATCTTATAGGCTAACGCCAGCAGAGCTGGCCAATTGACGCAAATATGCAAATACTGAACATGCAGTATAAATACAAA